TGCCCGCGTCTTCTCTTGGCTGACTTTCAAAAGCGGGAGAAAAGCAGCTAGGGTGCTAATTGTAGCTGGGTCCTGTAGTGAAAATGTTTTGTGACAGTTGAAGGAATTTAAAGAGGAAGGAAGATCGGTTTAGTGTCAGCTGCAATTAGATAATCAAAGCTTAAAAATCCTACTCTGTTGATACCTTCACCTAGAGTTAAGGAGCGGAGCGAGGGGAAGGGGGAGGAGGGCTGTGCGTGGAAAGGGCATTTCCATAGCCAGTGCAACCGAGGCCCGACCGAGCTTGCAGGTTGTCTGGGCGCACGCTTGCACAGAGAGATTTTCTTGGCAGCTCTACAGGATGAGGCTCACACTGTACACAGCCGACATATTGAAGCCGAGAGCCCTGGAGAGAACGTAGATGCAGGAGTAGAAACAGCTCTGCACACAATGTAGCGTCTCCTAGGATGGTTGGGCGGCTCCTTTCTTCAGGTATTTTATTACCCATCAGCCCTTTTTAGAGCCAAAAAAAAAAAGAGAAAGTAACCCTAACCCTGAGAAAATAGCATCTGCTTCTGTTAAATCAATTTATTACATAACATTTCAGAGAGAGAGCAGCAGCACAGCGTCCTAAGCTTTTGGCTGCATTTCAGGTTTGATAAAATGGCGTCTTTGCAGTGAGCTGCTTGCTAAAGATATGTTGCACTGAGCAGAAAAATGCAATTATTTGGTGTTTTCTACTGCTGCTTTTGTTTTGGAGAGGTAGCATTTAGTGGAATTGCTGCTAGTAATGAAAACTGTTGTTTATTTTTGCTTGTTTTCTTAATGCATTTAAAAGCTTTCAGCATCAGAGGAAAGGAACTACATTTGAATGTCGTAGTGCAGAAAATTAAAATGGGATAACAGGCTTTCCCACTTGTGTACTTAACTATGGTTTATTTTCAAAATAAATAAAGCTGCTTTATTCAATGCTTCCATCTCTTTTCTGCCTTTCCACATTATGCACGCTGTGCAAGATTTCAGCTTCCTAACATCTATGAGACTTGTTGTAAGTTAGCTTTGTAAGTGGCTTCAAATAGATGACAGTTTTCAAATTTGTCCTCTGTCTCAGGGTATGCATAGAACTGGATGTAGCAGGCAACCTGAAATATTAGCACTACAGTTCCCAGATTTTCTACTTTATTATATTTTGTTCTTCAGAATAGATGCTTGTCTCATCTTTTTCTTTTATGAAATCAGGCTACATTTGATCTAGCACTTAAAATGTTTCTGGCAATTTCTATTTAATTCAGATTTAGAAAAATTCATGTATAGTCTTTTAAAGAGCTGCTCATGTTGAATTGAAAACTATTTCTTTTGGGGGGGGAGAAAGTAATTTGCCCTTTTTCCTCAACTTCCTACTTGGAATCACTAACCTTTGTGTGACAAGTAACAGCCCCGGTAGGACTGTCACTGGCCTTTGGGATTTTTCTCTCTCCTGCATGTCAAAGCAAAGAACAGCGTCGTCTGTAATCTGTCCTTTGGGCAGGACAGGACGAGCCAATGGTTATGGCTGGGTGTTAACGCTGACTAACATGAATTGAAAAATAAAACTAGCAGTAAGGGAGGGAGTCACTATTAGATGGGATTTAAAATTGGATGAGCAAAACTTATTAATAATGTGGTTCTCAATAAAAGTTTATCCCAGGCGTTGCCATTTCGCACCGCCTCCACCGAATACTTCGGTTCCTAAATCGGCTGAATGTTACGTTATAGTTCAGGATGCATAATTTTACTGCGCAGCATTCAAACCAATTACTGCAGTAGAAGTTACGAAGATACAGTTACTTTTAACTCTGCTGAATAAAAATGAAAAGCAATACTACTGCAAATGATGTTTTCAGAGGAGGTTTGAAGTTTTGGGTAAACTGCTTGTGCAGGCAAAGTGTTTTGCTTTTCTAAGAAATGCGTGCAACAGCTTCTCCCATTTCGCTCTACTCATACTTTACATTTGTAATCTATGTAAACATTAAACTGATTTTGCAACTAATTCATATTCATTATCAAACACAGCCCAAAATGTTTTCCATTTTTAATAAGTACTAAATTGAAGTCGTTAAGGTACATTGGGTATAGTACGTAATAACACTGGCAATCTCCTCTCATCCCATTAAGGATATTTAAAACCAAACCAAAACCTTCCTGCTCACTGATAACACCGACAAAGCTGTGCATTTTTCAGGTAGCATCTAGGATTGCAATTTGACAGAAGTTATGTTTGTTTAACACAAATTTCAGCCGTTATTCTTGATATTAGCTAATTTTTCCTTCCTGACTGCTGGAGAAATGTTGTTATAAAAGATGCATAATTAAGATTTTCAAACAAAAAGTATTAATTTAAAAATCAGTTACACTTTGTAGTGTCCCAGCACTTGGATTTGCTCACATAAAATACCTGTGGTGCCTGTTCCTGATGCTTTGTTTAAAATCTTTGCTGAGTTCACAGAGGAAGGATAGAAATGCTTCTGGTGGACTGCAGTGCTTTTATTTCTGATCTTTGCATAAATAAAGAGGAACTTATTCTTAAGATTTTTTTTTTAAATGAGTTTCCCATTTCAGTCTTAACAGCTTTAAAAATAAAAGGAAATATTTGCAATTTCTATGAAGAATTGGTTTCCTAGAAAGTTGGAAGAAATCTGTGTTCAAAGTAACCCTCAAACAAACAAACAAATCTCTAGATTTAATCATATAAAATACTTTGCTTTCATTATTTTTCCCAAATGTTTGAAGTCCTTATGGATTAAGTAAGACTGTGTTACTAGTTATTTAATTTATAGGAATGAACACCTTTTAGTCTAGAGAAAAGGGAACAATGTCTTTTCGTTGTTTGCTTCTGGAGACAAGAATATAAAAAGTTCTCTCTTCAGAATCAGTCTGTACTCAAACTCGGTTATGTTTGTCCAGCAGCAAAGTCACAGTTTTGCAGCTTTCTGTTTATATTGTAAATTTTTTTTTCATTCTCTTTATTTTACCTGTCCTGTTTGTTACAAGTTTTACAGCAGCAGCCTTTGGTGTTCGAACCAATTAGTCCAGTAAATATTGGGATGTTAGAAGTTATTGCAAGTCTCTGGTTTTGCTGCCCTTTTTTTTTTTTTTTTTTTTTTGGTCTCTCTGACCTGTGAAGGGTACCGGCATGGTCCCGCTGGCTCCAGCAGCACAGGCATGCTGCTGCTCGAGGGGGAGCTTCCTTCTTTTAGATCACCTACGCGGAATTACTGTAATCCCTACCAAAGTAACCACTTTCAGATTAGTCGGTGGTTATTGTTGAGGGCATAATCTGAACCTCAGTAAGAGGAACTATGCAGAGGGTATATGAAAGGGAGTAGCTATGGAGTTGGCAAGCCTTTGAAGAAGCAAAGGGGTTTGAGCTGCTGGTGCTGCTTCCAAGCCAAACATACTTGGTGTGATACTGTCTGGAGGAGATGTACTTATCCAAGCTGAGGCACTTGGCCATTTTCTACTTTTATTATGGACATCTCTTGGGTTTTATAGTTCTTCCACCTCATAATGATTTTTTTTCTTCTTGTTTCTCTGACTGCTGCTCAAAATCCTGGTATCTTATTTAATGAACCGTTTTGCTCCCTACTCTCAGGAATCTTTCTAAGCTCTTTTGTCATCTTCCATTCCCACCCCTTCCCTTTACTTTCTGTCTCCTGAGTGCTCTCAAACTTGAGCAATGCTTTAACCACCATCTTTGGGGGAGAGGAGAAAGAAAAAGAAATGATTAAACAAGCAGCTGCGTTTCATCTCACCTTGTTGGTCTTAGTGCTGTTTTTGTGAGGATTGAGACATCTTGCACTGTGCTCTTGATCCTTCTTCACAAACCTGCCCTGTGCACACGCTCTCGCTCGCCTTGGGCAGCACCATCGTTCTCCCACACACTTGCATATGTAGCTTAGGTTTCGGCTTTGACAAGACCTTTTTATTGGAACAATGTATTTCAAGCTGCTTTTAAATCTTCTGTCATGTCTGAAATGTAGTGCTGAATCTCACCACCCACCGTGTTGAAAAAAATCTCACAAAACTCCTCTTATCTGATTCCTTGGTTGCCTCAACTTCTTATCTTCTGGCCTGGACTGCTGTGGCTTTTTTTTCCTTTGTTCATTTCTGCTCTGCTAAAAATGCTGCTTGGCTCATTCCTCTGACCCTGCCGACCCTTTTAAAGTCATTTCACAGCCATCCTTTCCCTTCCATGCCTTATCTAGGATTCTGGTCTCTAACACCTGTGCAGCAAAACTAGATTATCAGGTAAATTTTCAACCTTCTTCGTTAGCTCTGTAATGTAACCAGTTGGCTTTATCCAAGAATATGATGATGCTTTCTTCCTTTCTAGCCGTTGCATGTAAGGGAGAGAATCCAGGTAAATCCACGTGGCTCCTTTCACATTCTCTTTCAGATTTGTCATACATCAATTATTTAGCTCTTTCTGTGAAATGCTAGGCTTTTCCTGATGTCGTGAGAAGACAAGTGATGAGCTAAGACTGTTTTTCCTTCCTTTCTCTAACATTCATACTTTTTGATGTAAAGAAAAAAGGAAAGCTGCAATCTCTCCTGGTTTAGCCTGTTCTTTCTTCATCTTGGTAAATCTTCATGAGGCAATCAAGTAATCACCCCCCTTTCTTGAACAGCTACAGGTGAAATGTGTGAATAAGAAGATTTTATCAGAGAGAGCGCTTTTAATATTCTTGGAACAATTTTTTTGCAGTATTGGAACACCTCTAATTGGAGGCAGTTAGAGGAGCTAATCACGCCAAAATATTTGTGATTTAAATTAATGCATATTAGGCATCCACTGTTAACGGCTTATTTGGGAGGTTTGTTGCATCCGTCTTCCCCACAGAATATTGTTCTTATTCAAATCATAAAAAAAAAAAGGTCATGTTTTTGCAGATTTATAGCAAGTAAAAATAATTGACATCCACAATTTCAAACTTAGATATATGAAGTTTTCTCCCTTATTTATACAACTACTTAAGAGGAACTGTTCTGCAGATGGTCTCTAGTACATATCCCTAGGATCAGACTGAATTACTTGCTATAAAATTCCCGTCAAAAGAAACTAAAAGGAGTAATTTGTACTAGAAGTCTTGTAGAGAGCAATTGAGATAGAAAGTAAATGCAAAAACTTGACCTAAGCATGAGTTCTCAGCATGAAAATGGTGTGTCTTCCAGTTTTACTTTGTACCCTAGCAAGCAATTAGATGCTCAAGAGCTTTTGTTTAATTTTTTGGATTAGCATCTATGTTTGAGGATGTGGGAGGTGCTCTGAAAAGACTGTGTACAACATAGCATTGTTTTCGTTGGTTTCGGGGGAAATTGGACTATGTGCAAGTGCAGAAGAATGTTTAAACTGCATGTAAATCCTTTAAGAGCTAAGTTTCTTAACAAAACTGTCTGTTGTTTAGAAATGCCCAAGTTCTCTGCTAAAACGTAAGTTACAGTAGTGCTGTTTAAATATATAATTGACACTGAATAGTGAAGGTGGCTGTCAGTATTTGTTCCTTTACTTACAGGAAGGGTTGAAAATGTAAATGCAGTATGAATTTAATGTGTTGAGTGTGATGTGGATGTAATATGTCATGGCAGGCAGACACTTTACATTTTTTATTGGATGCTCTTTCTTTGTGTTTCTCTGAAGAATGAGAATTGTGTCAAAATAAATGGTAAGAGTGTGCTAGATAGTCTTCTGTGGTTTTTTCCCTAATTTACTTTTTAGATCTTTCACATAGATTAGTGTATTTGTTATCCTTATTTATTGCCTGCTTATTATTTTTACTAGTATACTTTGGGATACAAAACACTTCTGTTGCTCTGTTCTAAAACCGAATCGTTCCATTATTTTAATTGACCTTTTTGCTAGATTAGAACAACTAAATATGAGCATCAAGCTTTATTGTAGCAAGGAAAATTGCTGTATTATGTTAGAAAATGTACACTAATTTTTAGCAGAATGCAGCATTGTGACTGGCAATGTAAAATAGTAGTTAATAGAGGGCTTTTGCAGTGCTTGAACCGTGGACTCATTTTTAACCTTGTTGGATCCTTTCAGATCTCAGCCACAGTGGATTGGGAGACCATTATGAGAATTCCCACTGGGGACAGCAGCCCGCTTTCAGGAGTGAAGGCAACTGCAGCTGGGATAAAGTGATAATAGACAGGACTGACAAGGAAGCGTGGCCTTCCATTACCGGAGCTGAGACTGAGTCTGCCTCAGAATGTACTACAGACACTGACTCTGCCTCCAACTGTGGCTCAGAGAACAGTAGCATGGCTACAGGGAGTGCCCAAGGCAACTTCACTGGACATACAAAGAAAACTAATGGCAATAATGGCGCCAACGGAGCACTCGTCCAAAGCACTTCTAACCAGAGTGCCCTTGGAGCTGGTGGAGCAAACGGTAACGGCAACTCGGCCAGAGTGTGGGGAGTGGCTGCGGGCTCCAGCTCTGGCCTAGCTCACTGCTCTGCCAGCGGTGGGGATGGAAAGATGGACAACATGATGGGAGATGGTAGAAGTCAGAACTGCTGGGGTGCTTCCAACTCGAATGCTGGCATTAATCTTAACCTTAACCCTAATGCCAATCCAGCTGCCTGGCCTGTACTTGGACATGAAGGAACTGTGGGAGCAGGCAACCCTTCCAGTATTTGCAGTCCAGTCAGTGCCATAGGTCAGAACATGGGCAACCAGAATGGGAACCCAACAGGCACCTTAGGTGCTTGGGGAAACTTGCTGCCGCAAGAGAGCACAGAACCACAAACGTCCACTTCTCAGAATGTGTCTTTCAGCGTACAACCTCAGAACCTTAACACTGATGGACCAAATAACACTAACCCCATGAACTCTTCACCAAACCCTATCAATGCAATGCAGACAAATGGACTGCCGAACTGGGGGATGGCTGTTGGTATGGGGGCCATCATCCCGCCCCACCTGCAAGGCCTTCCTGGTGCTAACGGAACATCAGTTTCTCAAGTCAGCGGGGGCAGTGGTGAAGGAATAGGCAGTTCAGTGTGGGGGATGTCCCCAGGTAATCCTGCCACAGGAAACAGCAATTCTGGGTTCAGTCAGGGGAATGGAGACACTGTGAACTCAGCATTAAGTGCTAAACAAAATGGATCCAGCAGTGCTGCGCAGAAGGAAGGAAATGGAGCGAGCGCGTGGGATTCGGGGCCTCCCTCTGGTCCTGGGGTACTGGCGTGGGGCAGGGGCGGTGGCAACGGCGGTGTTGGTAGCATGCATTCTGGAGCTTGGGGCCACCCCAACCGTAACACCAGTAACGGTGTGAACGGTGACTGGGGCAAGCCCCCAAACCAGCATTCCAACAGCGACATCAATGGGAAAGGATCAGCAGGGTGGGATAGCTCTAGTGTTACCAGTCCGAATCCTGCCATGCAGCAGGGCAATGAACAAATAAACTCTTGGGCCAAAGCTGCAGCATCTGGCACCACAGCTAGCGAAGGAAGTAACGACAGCGGTGGGAGTCAAAACGAAGGCAGTACTGGGAGGGAGGGGGCTGGAGAGGGCAGGAGGAGAGACAAAGGGATGATAGACCAAGGGCAAGTTCAGTTGCCAAGAAATGACCTTGACCCCAGGGTCCTGTCCAATACGGGGTGGGGACAGACCCCTGTCAAGCAAAACACTGCCTGGGAATTTGAAGAGTCCCCAAGGTCTGAACGAAAGAATGACAATGGAACAGAGGCCTGGGGTTGTGCAGCTACTCAATCTTCAAACTCAGGGGGGAAGAACGATGGGTCCATCATGAACAGTACAAATACCTCTTCAGTATCTGGGTGGGTCAACTCTCCACCGGCAGCTGTTCCAACAAATACAGGTTGGGGAGACAATAACAACAAAGCACCAAATGGCCCAGGGGGGTGGGGAGAGTCAGCAAGCTCTACTACTGTTAATAATGCTGCTGCTGCCAAAAGCGGCCACGCTTGGAGTGGGACCGCAAATCAGGAGGACAAATCACCTACCTGGGGTGAACCTCAGAAACCCAAATCTCAAAACTGGGGAGATGGACAGAAATCAAATCCAAGCTGGACTTCAGGAGGTGGAGATTGGACAGATTCATCATCTGTTCCTGGACACTTGGGTGATGGGAAGAAGAATGGATCTGGATGGGATTCTGACAATAGATCAGGGTCTGGTTGGAACGATTCCACGAGGTCTGGGACCAGTGGTTGGGGAAATGGCACAAACAGCAAGGCTAATACAGGTACAAGTTGGGGGGAATCTTTAAAGCCAAGCCCCCAACAAAATTGGGCTAATAAACCCCAGGACAACAATGTGAGTAACTGGGGAGGAGCTGCTTCTGTAAAACAGACGGGGTCAGGGTGGGTTGGTGGGCCAGTGCCAGCCAAACAAAAAGAGAACTGTGAGGCAACTGGCTGGGAAGAGCCATCTCCACCGTCCATTCGCCGCAAGATGGAAATCGATGATGGTACCTCAGCTTGGGGCGACCCAAATTACAACAACAACAAGACTGTAAACATGTGGGATAGAAATAATCCTATAATTCAGAGCAGTACCACAACCAATACCACCACCACTAGCACCATTATCAACACAAATATGGTTGAACCTCAGCCATCGCACCAGTCAAGTGCCCAGCCGAACCGGTCCCCGCTGCTTGGTCCAGGTATGAAAATAGTTTTATAAGATACTTTATACCAGTACGGATTGCTGAATGCTGTCTGGCCTGATGGTCAGTGCAAAATTAGAAATCCTGTATTTATGTCATAGAATAAGTTTATTCAGTTACTCTGAAGTGGTGTTAACTTCTTGTCTTGAGGACAGAACCCGTGGAACCTGACACACAAAATTCCGTAGTCCAAGTGAATATAAGAAATGCTTGAAACAATACCCGGTCAATCAATAATGGCTAGATCCTGAGATTGTTGATCCGTGTTTATTTCTTCAGGTCTTCCACAGTTACTTAGCACTTTCTTTTAAATGAACTATTTGTGAGTTTGGGGTCTTTTTGCTAACCTTTTTTCTCTTATTTGTCTTCTGCTACCATTGCTCAGTCTTTGTTCTTGTTTAGACAGTGCACATCTGTTTCTTTTCTGCAAACCATATCTCTTGGCAACAGATGGTTTTTACCAGTTGCATGAACCCAGGCTGTTGCTGTTTCTCTGTCTTCTGTTTGTTGTCTTTTATGAAGAAACGATTCTCTTCCGTACTTCAGGTCTGAAGCACGGGTAGTATCCTGGACTTTTATGGGATTCTCGTAAAGCTGGATTGGTTAAAGATGTTAATATTCGGGGTGGCTGGGAAAAGTTATTTTAACTTCAGCTCTTCCAAAGACAAGTTTTTAGGCATCTAGGAATTTTTCTAATCAAAGACATGGTACTGTTATAGACAAGCAGTAAGGAATAGAAGTGGGGGAAAATGAGAAAGATATTTAGGAGGGAGGTATTTAAATAAAAGTTACTAGCAGCCCTGCTCTATATCATGACCACAGGCTTCTCAAAATAAATCTAATCTTGCAATGCTCTTTGAAATTCTTCATCTGATTTTTGTCTCCAAGTTTTTATTTTGTCTTGGTCATGGCTAAATATTGACTTTTTAACCATGTTTTTCTCCAAGGGGGATTTGTTCTCCTGCTCTTATTTCCATCATTTTTCTCTTTGATGTTTTGAAATAATTCAAACTTACTCTGATGTCTCTGTAAAAATAGTCTAGTGTTCCCTACTCTGGTCAAATATTTTAACAGTTGAAGGTATCTATTTTAATAAAATAACATGTGCTCCATAAGGAGAAATCTTTAAATAGATTTGTACTTGGTCAGTCCAAAGTACGTGATTGTTTACCTTATCGTTCACAATTGTTCACCTGATCGTGATTCATTTGCCTTCGACTTATTTAATCCATATTTAAAACTTTACCCGTGAAACTGACAGTTCAAATTTTTGATTTGTACTTGAGGTATCACGAAAGTGGGTTTTATTTTGGTTTGACATGGAGTTTTGGGTGGGTATTTTTTCACTAAGTTGATTTTTGGGTGATTAAATCTGTGCTTGTACAACTGTTCATATACAACAATGTATTGTTAATGCTATTCAAATAATCTAACGCCTTGCAGAGGAAAACTTACTGTTCCAAATCCTTCAGATGCTGAAGATGGAATTTCAAAATTGGTGTTGATGTCCAGTGGTTCCTGTGGAGAGTAGATGGTAGCAAAGGAAGGGTTTCTTGGAAGTGCTATGTTTAAGCAGTCAGAGAACTGCTTATTCATTTGTAACCATCCACTCTAGATACCACAAGACTCGGTTAAAATGACGGTATTGTGCATCTTGCAAAAATGTTCAGTAGAAAGATTCTGAGATGCTAAAGCAAAAAACCCTCTCAGAATATGCCTAAGTTAGCTTGCAAGAAAGGGTAAAATGAGTAACAGTGAAGGCAATTTAAAACCCAGTTCTGATATTAAAATTTAGACCAAGTTATTGAAGGCACAAGTTAGGCCTTTTGTTGTGTATTTTTGCTTACATAAGCTTACGATTATGTACATAGGTACAGATATAAAGGCCATACATGGACATATTTTGAAGGATTATTGTCTAACCTGCACACGGAAGTAAGGAGCAGTCCCCTGTGCCTTTATGTGTTATGCCCATCTTTAGTTTTGACTGTGCCTGAGAGGGGCTAGTCTCATGTTTGTCTTAGAGCAAAAAAATGTAACTTTAAATGACCCTATTAGCATGCCCGTTCAAAGTGCAGGAGACCTGTTTTTACTGCTGCACATAGCAGCTGTAGAGTAGTAATCCTGTTGGTCTTTGTGGAAATTTACACAGACTTAAACCATCTACAAATCGTGTCCCATGTGGGACAGCTAAAAGATGAGCACCAAGTCAGGAGCAGCTTTCCTGCAACACAGACATGGGCTTATAGTTTGTTGTCGTGCTGTTTAACCTTCTTTTTTCCTACTCCAATTCCCTGTCCCGATGGCTATGCATTTCCAACCTCTGCGGCAAGGGAGACAAGATTCCTGTAGCCAGGAGACTTCTGTAATCCACAACCAAATTTCATCCAACAGCAGTTCTTTTCCGTGTACAGTATTTCCATGCAAAAACATGATTGTGTAATTAAAGGTTAAGTGCTCATCTAAAATCTTGGAGCACTAACAGTAGTTCGCATTGGCATTTTGTCTTCTGCGTGGGTCATGATGTGCTTTGCCAATCGTCTTTATCATTTAATTTATCATTCCTTGTTATTCAAGGAATATCATGAAGGACAAACCCTGGCTTCTGTTCCTGTATTGGTAGGGAAGTCTGGCGTAGCTGTAAGATGGCACAGTCACGCAAAGAAGGCGATTTAAATTTTGCTGTAGAGCACTAGTTAACTGCTCAGGAAGGAGTAGCAGTCTCTTTTCCCTTTTGGGTTTGAAGTTTGTACTAAATTAGTTTAGAAATGGAGGCCAAGTTACAGTCTTGTTATTCAAGTTGTCACCCGTCCCCAGAAGTTCTCGAAATTCTTTGAGTACAGAACTTAAAAGCTATTGATGGGAAGCAGATGTTGGTACACACTTGATGAAAATGCATACTGCTCTAAGGAGTTTCTTTTTCTAGTGGAGGGGGAAAAAAAAAACGGCTAGATAATGTGATGAATGTAGTTCTTTCTGGTTAGAAGAGCTTGCTTCCAAACCACCGGTGAGTTAAAGCTAGTGGGTTAGATTTAGATTCAATTTTTTTTAAAATTACTTGTTCATAATTCTTACTGGCACTATTAACTCTTGCAACTTTGGTACAAGGGGAATAAGAAGTGAGGAAAGGTTTTGCAAACAGGGATGATTAAAAAATAGATTTGTGGATTTCAAACAGCACCAGATCCTTCCTACAAAGGCTGAGGAGTGGGCTGGATGCTTTCCTGTTCCCGTTAGGTAGGTCAGGACTGGCAGAGTTCCACCTGCCCATCCTCCAGCTGAGAAAAGACCCTAACAAAAGAGAATGTAGGTTTCCCTGAGGAGATTTTAGGTCAAAAATTAAAGTCTTTTCGTTCCTGGAGAGTAAGGAATTTAAGCTTTAAAAATCTGAACCAGGTCTCAATTCTGAAAGCTCTGAACATCTCTGTTCCTTTTATAATCCTGCGCCTTTGACTCAGTGGAGACTTGCATGTCATTCACGGCCTGGAACTGATGTGAAACAGAGAGTGCAAGTGGTGCGTTTTCCTTACTTTGAACTTTCATCAGAGTGGATTTGAAACCAGATCAGCTGCGAGTTCTTAGGATGCTCATGTAAAAACCTGAAATCCCGTTGTGGGTGCTCAGCCCTCTGACAGCCAAGTTTAGGGGC